GCTCCCATCGCTCTGCCGGGCTCCCGCTCCGTGCCGGCATCCCCTCCGCCCACCCGGGACCTCTCCCGCACCCCGGCATCTCCCCCTGCCTTCCCCGACTCTCCCCCACGCATCCCGGTATCCCCTCCCCAGCCCGGGTCCTCTCTTCCCCCTGTCCCGGTACCCCGCTGTCCCTGCCCATCCCGGCCCCCGTTTCCTGCACGCTGCTGCGATCCCCTGGGGTCCCTCCCTGCCCCGAGCCCTGAGCAGAGCCTGCCGGTGTTCAGAAGGCCAGGGCTGGTGGGTGCCATCCCCTGGCGCTGGGGGCTCGTGGGGCAATCTCAGTTACCCCGGGTTATCCCGGTTATCCCAGGTTATCCCGGTTACCCCAGTTACCCCGGTTGTCCCGGTTACTCCGGTTACCCCGGTTATCCCGGGTTATCCCAGGTTATCCCGGTTACCCTGGTTATCCCGGTTACCCCGGTTTCCCGGTTACCCCGGGCAGAGCTGCGTGTCCCGGCGGGGCACTGGCCCCGGCCCGCGGGGATGCTCAGGGTCCGTTCCCCGCAGGATCGCCCCGGCGCTGCTGAGACAGGCGTCCTACGGCACCATCAAGATCGGCATCTACCAGAGCCTGAAGCGGCTCTTCGTGGATCGCATGGAAGGTCGGTGCTGGCAGCGCGGCCCTTCCCAGCTCCCCCCTCACACTCTGGGCTGTGTTCTGCTCCTCGTTCCTTGCTCTGTCCTTCCCAGCCCCGCATTCCCACGGGAGTGGAGCTCCATTACCGTGCTGTGCTTTAATTTGCCAGTGAGAGCAAGGATTGGATTTAATCCCCATGGGAACCTGACCGTGCTCTGCACTGCCTGCAGTCCCTACCCAAACACCTCCCTCCAGTCAGGCTCCTTCCTTTCATGGAGTCCTGGGAGAATCACAGAATCATTGAGGTGGGAAAACACCTCCAACATCACCAAGTCAAATCCTTGTCTCCAGCCCAGAGCTCTGGGTGCCACCTCCAGCCCTTCCTTGGACACCTCCAGGGATGGGCACTCCAGACCTCCCTGGGCAGCCCCTGCCAATGCCTAACCTTCCTTTCCATGAAGAAATTCCTCCTGAAGTCCAAACTGAGCCTCCCCTGGCACAGCCTGGCACAATCTGGATAGGAATTGTGCAGCTCTGTAGCTTTGGCCCTGACTGCAAAGGTGAGGTTCCACCAGTGCCGTGCCCTCTGCAGCTCCTGCCAGGGGACTGGAGCTGCTGCTCCTGAGGGTGAGATTTTCATCCCTGCTGTGACATGAGGGAATGCTGTAACAATGTTCCAGCCTGGGAAAGCGGATGGGTGGGCAAAATGCAGCACAGTAATAATAGGAAGCTGTGCCAGGGCAGGTTTAGGTTGGTATCAGCAGAAGGTTTTGTCCCCCAGAGGGTGCAGGCACTGCTCAGGCTCCCCAGGGAATGGGCACTCCCAGAGCTCCAGGAGTGTTTGTGCAGCGCTCCCAGACACAGGGTGGGATTGTTGGGGTGTCTGTGCAGGGCCAGGCGTTGGACTGGATGATCCTCATGGAACTCTTCCATCTCAGGATCCCCTGTGGCTCTAGAGGTCCTTTCAGGGCTGCTGTCCTGCTCCAGTGGTGCCTCTTCCTGGCCCCACACCCCTTGCTGTTCCAGCCCTTTCAGCTGTGCCTGAGTGTTTGTCTCCCTGCAGGCCTGGGGCAGCCTGGTGTCCTCTGGGAAGTGGCGTGGTCAGTACCAGCAAAGGCCTGTGCCTTTTCCCAGTGTAACCATCCTCCTAATACTGGGCTTGGAATCTCGGGTCATTCCCTGGCACTAACCACATCTAACTCCCTGCCTGTTCCCGAGCCTCAGCTGGCTCCAGGGCCTGGGGAAACGCTGGGTTGTCCCTCCCTGTCTGCCTCTGTCCTGGCTCATCCCTGCAATGAGGAATCTCAGATAACTGGTCACAATTTTCACGTGTCCCAGGATTTCCTTGTCATCCGTCAGCCCCTCTGGGAGCGCACTGCTGAGCGCTTCAGCTGCTGCCTCCTGTCCCTGGCAGGTGTTGGACAGACCCTGCCCAGCCCTGCTCCTGCAGCTGCAGCATGTGATTCGGGAGCTGAGCTGCTCTGCTCTTGTTCACTGTGCCCCTCCTGTCAGGGTCTCACCTTCTTTCCTTGCTTGCAGATGAAACGTTGCTCCTCAATGTGATCTGTGGGGTGGTCTCGGGGGTCATCTCCTCTGCGCTGGCCAATCCCACAGACGTGCTGAAGGTAAGGGCTGCTCCTGCCTGCCCCTGGGACCTGTGTGGGGAGCAGCTCAGTGCTCCCTGAGCCACCAGCTCTGCTCATTTGGGGTTTTTAATGGACAGGGACCAAAGCCCAGGGTAATTAACAGGTGCTTAAAAACACAGCTCTTAAAGATCACAGAATCCTGGTAGGGTTTGGGTTGGGACAGACATGAAAAACCATCTCCTTGGGCAGGGACACCTCCCACTGCACCAGGTTGCTCCAAACCCCGTCCAGCTTGGCCTGGAACACTTGCAGGGATGGAGCAGCCACGGCTTCTCTGGGCAGCAAGGACCATGACATCTGTCCTGGTGAGGGGTGGGAGCTGTGGCTCGACCTGGGCCAGGTGAGCAGCAGCTGCTGCTGTCCCTTGGTCACGGTGCTGGCACTGCCTGTCATGTGGAGTGAGCAGAGCCCAGTGGGGCCCTGGGCAGAGACAGCCTGGAGAACTTCCCCATCTTCTCCCTGTGTAGATCCCCCTTCTGGGGCTGCTTCCAGGGTAAAGGCCTTGTCCCTCGTGTCCCTGTGTCCCCACCCTGCTGCTGTCCCTGCCCCCTGCCTGCTGCCATCCCTGTCCATGTGGTGTGCAGGGAGAGGGACACGGAGAACAGTGTGGGCTCTGAGCTGCTCTGTTCCTTCTTCCAGGAGTTCCATGGAGCTGCTGTCCCTGTGTCTTGGTTTGAAAAGACAGGTGTCTGCTAAGGAAGGCAGGAGCCTCCCTTGAAATGGAAAAAATGTAAACTTCCTCCCTCCAAATTATTATAATTTTGAAATTAAGGGGCTCTCAGGCAAAGATATGGGAGTAGGAATAACAGTTCTTTACTAGGATGTATAAATAAAAAATAAAAACCCTACAACTTAATAGGGAAATGAAAATAAAAATACAATAGTACAAAAAGCACTGCCAGTCAGAATCCAATGTGATACTCTGCTGGGCAGGGTGTTGGTGGCAGTGGGGTTAAACGGTGGCTGCAGCCCTGGAGTGCCAGATGTGGCTCTGGTGAAGCTGTGACCCTGCAGAAGGGGGCAGTTCCCCTCTGAAGGTCCAGGGCTGCTGTAGATGGGTCCTGTTTTCCTCTGGGAATCCACCAGTGGAAAAAAGGCTGCCTGTGGTGTTCCAAAGCTCAGATTGTATCCAGGTATGTATGCCTGGCTCCTCCCCTGGCTGGAGCATCTCCCAGTGGGATGGTGGAATTTTCTCACTCCTGCAGTGAGACCCAAGGGATCATCAAGAGCAGAGATCCCCCTGGAGGGAGGATGGGTCCTGGAAGGGATAAAGAACACTGCCCCAGCTGGTTTTAGCAGCTGGTGATAGACTACATCCCTCTGGCTACACCTTGCATTGCAGCCCAAGACACCCCGGTGTCCCCGCCCTGTGGGCAGGTGCTGGTGTCAGGACAGGTGTTGATGGGCTCCTGCTGACTCTTCCCTTCCTTTCAGATCCGAATGCAGGCTCAGGGCAGCTTGTTCCAGGGTGGGATGATCGGCAGCTTCATTGACATCTACCAGCAGGAAGGTACCCGAGGCCTCTGGAGGGTGAGCACCGACTCCCAGAGCCCCCAGCAGCAGCAGGAATGACAGAAGGCTTGGGGAAGCTGCTGCTCTCCTGCTGTTCTGTAGCAGGGAGCACCTGGAGCCCCTCCTGGGGGCTCACACAGCTCTCTGATCCTCCTTAAACTGCTGCTCTTGTGGGGCAGAACCTTTCCTGGTGTTGGGATTGGTGAGGGGTGACAGCCTAGTTCCCACTGCCGGTGTTGGGAGTGTGGAGTTAATCCAGCTGGAATGATTCCACTGCCGGGGTGGAGCCATCCTCCTGGGCCTTGGAGCAAAGCTGGGGAGCAGCTGGTGTGCCTGCAGGGAGGCTCCAGGGGAGGCTGTCAGGAGAAGGCCCTGGGGAGGTGGCAGCAGTTGGTGACAGTGTCCCTGCCCCACAGGGAGTTGTCCCCACGGCCCAGCGAGCGGCCATCGTGGTGGGAGTGGAGCTGCCGGTCTACGACATCACCAAGAAGCATCTGATCCTGTCAGGCCTGATGGGGGACACCATCTTTGCCCACTTTGTGTGAGTACCTGCTGCAGGCTTGGAGGGGTGTGAGGTGTGAGGGACAGGAGCCTGGGGGGACTGGGGGGAGACCATCCATGGGGCAAGTGCTCTGGAGCTGCAGGGAGCAGGGTCAGGGCTCCCAGAGCATCTGGAGCAGGGTCAGTGCCCCCAGAGCAGGGTCAGTGCTCCCAGAGCAGGGTCAGTGCCCCCAGAGCAGGGTCAGTGCCCCCAGAGCAGGGTCAGGGCTCCCAGAGCATCTGGAGCAGGGTCAGTGCCCCCAGAGCAGGGTCAGTGCCCCCAGAGCAGGGTCAGGGCTCCCAGAGCATCTGGAGCAGGGTCAGTGCCCCCAGAGCATCTGGAGCAGGGTCAGTGCTCCCAGAGCAGGGTCAGTGCCCCCAGAGCAGGGTCAGGGCTCCCAGAACAGGGTCAGTGCCCCCAGAGCAGGGTCAGTGCTCCCAGAGCAGGGTCAGTGCCCCCAGAGCAGGGTCAGGGCTCCCAGAACAGGGTCAGTGCTCCCAGAGCAGGATCTGGAGCAGGGTCAGTGCCCCCAGAGCAGGGTCAGTGCCCCCAGAGCAGGATCTGGAGCAGGGTCAGTGCCCCCACAGGATCTGCTGTGTCAGGTGGAACAGCTCAGTCAGCAGCAGGTATGGAATCATTAAGGCTGGGTAAGACCTCCAAGGCCACTGAGTCCAGCCATTCCCCCAGCACTGCCAAGGCCACCACGAATCCATCTCCACATCCCAGAGACCTCCCTGGGGAAGGAGCTGGCAGAAACCCTTTGGTGACACGAAGTTCCAGCTGGCTGATGACAGAAATGCTGCTGCCCCACATCTGTGCCCTGCTGTGAGCCAGGCAGCTCTGTGATCCTTCCTGGTGTCTTTGCTCTTCCTCCCTCCTTCCCAAAGCAGTGTTTGCTCTGCTGGGAGGGATGTGCATTCCCAGGGGGTGCCTTCAGGTGTGAGTCACCTGGGCAGCAGCGGGGAGCCTTGCAGGGCTGCTGTGGCCTGTGGAGCCAGCTGTGGGCTCAGCTGAGGCTCTGGATTAGCTGAGCTGAGCTTTTCCCTCCCAGCGGGGCCCTGTGGCCGGCCAGCTCCTGCCGCTGCCCCTTTTGCAGCTGGGAGCAGGTGGTGCAGCTCAGTCCATGGCTGAAGGCCTTTGCTGAAGGCCAGGGGAGGTGCTGAGTGGCAGTGGGAGTGGGGGTGGCCGTGCCTGACACGGTGTGTGCAGTTCCAGCTTCACGTGCGGGCTGGCGGGGGCCATCGCCTCCAACCCCGTGGACGTGGTGCGGACGCGGATGATGAACCAGCGCGCCATCGTGGGCAGCACCGAGCTCTACAAGGGCACCCTGGACGGCCTGGTCAAGGTGAGGGGACAGCCCTGTTCTGGGAGGCTGGCCAGGTCCCAGCACCACGCCACGGGGAGCCCTGGGATTCTGGTGACACAATGTGACATCGGTGAGGCGGGAGAGGGCCCAGAGTCGCTTCCCTGAGGCTGCTGAGCATCCTCCCAGCCTCCTGGGACAAGATTTGGGCCATGATGCAGTTAGGTGGGTTCAGGGACTGCAGGTGATGCTTCACACACGTGCACAGGTCTGGGTAGGGCCAGGGTGGCACAGGTGGCACCGGGGAGGTGGCAGGGCATGGGCCTGGCGTGTCTCCTCACCGTTTGTCTCTGTCCCCAGACGTGGAAGAGCGAGGGCTTCTTTGCACTCTACAAAGGCTTCTGGCCCAACTGGCTGCGTCTGGGTCCCTGGAACATCATCGTATCCTTGCCTGGTGGAGCAGGGCACGGGGAGAGCCCAGCTGGGACGGGCAGGGCAGGGCTGGCACCCCTGGGGGCACTGGGGACCCCAGTGGGCACTGCTGATGGTTCCTGTAGAGCCCCTGAGGGTTTGGCTGGGACCTTGCCTGGGCTGCAGGAGATTCCTGGATGAGCTCCTGTTTGGGAGGGAACCGTGGGGAACTGCTGCTGACTGTGCAGGACCAGTGCTGCTGTGTGCTGAGCCACACCACACACTGCCTGCTGACACTGGGTGAGGAATTCACTGCAGAGAGCTCCCAGCCTGGGCTCTTCCCTCTCCCAGTGGTCTGGGCCAGGCTGGGTTTGCCCTGGGTGCATCTCCCCGCTCTTGGCTGTGCCCCAGCTCCCTTCTGCCTGGGCAGGTCAGGCTGTGCTGCCTTGGAGCACAGGGAGCCCCATGGGTGCCTTTAGGGAGCTCCCTGTGTGGGTGTCCAGCCCAGCTGAATGCTCTGCCCACATCTCTCCCACATCTGTCCCACATCTGTCCTTGACTCTCCCTTCAGTTTTTTATCACATACGAGCAGTTGAAGCGCCTCCCCTTCTGAGAGCTGCCTTCATCTCACCAGAGTCATCCTCGGGGCTGGCAGCAGAGCTGTGCTGCCGCCTCCCCCTCCATCCCCCCGTCCCCAAGTCGTGTGTTTGGTCCCTGTGGGCTGGGCTGTCCCCACATGCATGGTCCCTGGAGCAGCCGGGAGCTGCGCGATTCCCACCGGAGGTGTCCGTGTGCCTGGGCCTGCAGGAATATCTTCTGTGAAGATCTCTGCATTCCAGTGGCCTTTGGGGCACTGTGGCTGGCAGGTGTGGGTGTCCTCCCGTGCCCCTGGGGCGAGGCTGGGGCCCAGGAAGGTGCCATTATCATGTTTCTTGCAGAACTTGTGACTTCATTAAATTATTTATTGACTGGATGTCTCAAGGTTGGGTCTTGTTTGGACTCTCTCCAGCATCGGGGAAAAGGCTCCCCACACATCTCCCTGGGCAAACAGAGGGTGTGGGACGGCAGCAGAACCCTTCCCGTGGCTGCTGCAGTGCAGAGCCCGAGTGTTCCTGAGCCCTGCCAGCCCTGGGCTGCAGGCAGAGCCCCCTGTGCCCTCCCTCCTGCCACACCCGGCCTCTCCCCGGTTACTGTTTGACAGGAACGCTCAGTCCTGCCCCTGGAATTCCTGGCAGCTTGGATTTTTCCAGCTCACAGGGCAGAAGAGGCTTGTGGCACTCTGTGTAGGGGCTGGAGCTGTGACTGTCAGAGTCTGTGAAGGTCAGCCCTACCCCGGAGGTGTGAGGGGTTTTGGGGATTCCCTGGCACCAGGATGCAGAGGCTCTGCCTTCAGGAATTTCTTTGTTACCAGTCACTATTGGGTAAATACAAAGTGAGTGAGTGTGGACATGGAATCGTTACTTTTTGCTGTTGGTAGCACTTGCTAGATTTCCCTGGAAGTATCACGGCAAAGTTCACCCAGCTCCCGCAGGAGTGAGGTCAGGTGTCTCTGGGTCCCACCCATTCCGTGGAGCCTGGAGCCAGCCTGGTGTTCCTGGGCATCCAAAGGGCTGTGCAGGGGAGCCCCAGGACAGAGAGAGGCTCTTTGGGACAGCAGCCGGTTCCTTCTGCCTGGATCCATCCGTGGGCAGAGGGCTCCTGCCTGCATCCCAGCCCTCCCTGCAGGTCCCAGCAGTTCCTGGGTTCCAGCCTCCCCGAGGGTGCCCTGGGCTCCCTGTTGTGCCTGCCAGGGGCACTGCAGGTTCCCAGCTGTGGCTGCTGCTTTCCCAGGCTGGCAGAAGTTTCTGTGTGTGAGCACACATCCCTTGGCAGTGCCTTCCCCCTCGGTGACCAGGTCACCGTCAGGGCTGCTGCTCCAGCAGGGTGTCAGTGGTGTTCCCTTGGTCCCAGCAGCAAGAAGCTGTCCTGGGTCTGGCAGTGACCCCCAGGAGCTGTGCTGGACACTGGGAACTCTCTCTGTGCTTGTCCCCATTCCCAGCCCCTGTGTGTGAGCAGGCCCTGCTCTGCTCCAGCCCCTGGGGGGGGACGGCCACCGCCCCATGTGCCACCGTGGCAGCTTCCTGCCCAGGTGCTCCCTGCTCACCCCCTGCTCCAGGGTTGTCTGGAAACGTGGCTGGAGGGGAGGGACCTCAGCGGGCACCGCAGCCGGTCCAGCAGTCCCTGCTGCGGGCAGCTGCTGAGAGCTCTGCTTCCCCAGGGACACCCCTGATCCCCAGGGACACCCCTGATCCCCAGGGACTGCTGTTCTGGGATTCCTGCTGTTCTGGGATTCCTGCTGTTCCCAGATCCCTGCTGCTCCTGGATTCCTGCTGTTCCCAGATTCCTGCTGTTCCCAGATCCCTGCTGCTCCCCAGGCTGTGAGGAGCTGCACCTGCCGAGTTTCATCCGCGGAGAGGCCCCAGGTGAGTGATGGCTGAGGATGCTGTTGGGGACACACCGTCCCAGTGGTGTGTCTCACAGAAGGCAGCCACGGCCAGCTGGGCGCTGGGAGCCATCCTGGCCGTGCTGGCCTCGCTCATCATCGCTGCCAACGTGCTGGTGGCCATCGTCCTGCTCTGCCACATCCAGAAGAGCGGCTCCAAGGGGCTCTGCTTCGTCCTCAACCTTGCCTTGGCGGATGCCATGGTTGGCTTCACGGTCATGGGCCTGGCCATGGATGAGCTTTCCCAGCCCTTTCATCCTTCCCAGAACTTTTGCATCCTGAGAATGGCTTTTGTGACCTCTTCCTCTGCTGCCTCCATCCTGTCCCTGATCCTGGTGGCCTGTGACAGGCACCTGGCCATCCGGAAGCCCTTCCACTATTTCCAGCTGGTGACGGGCCTGCGGGTCGGGGTGTGCCTGGTGGGGCTCTGGCTGGTGGCCGCCACCGTCGGCTTCCTCCCGGTCTTCGTCCCGCGCTTCCAGAGGGTCAACAACCATTGGAAATGCTCCTTCTTCAACGTCTTCCACCCTTCCTACATGCTCACCATGTTCTGCTTCGGCTTCTTCCCCGCGCTCTTCCTCTTCCTCTACCTCTACTGCGACATGCTGAAAATTGCCTCGGTGCACGTGCAGCACATCCTGGAGGTGGAGCAGGCGGGGCTGGGGGGCGGCTGTCCCCCACCCCGTGCCACCAGTGACATGAAGGCCATGCGCACGGTGGCCTTGCTCATCGGCTGCTTCACCCTCTCCTGGCTGCCCTTCTTCATCACCGGCGTGGTGCAGATGGTCTGCTCCGAGTGCTTCCCCTACAAAGTCATCGAGAACTTCTTCTGGCTGCTGGGGCTGGGCAACTCCCTCCTGAACCCGCTGCTCTATTCCTACTGGCAGAGGGACGTGCAGCTCCAGCTGTCCCAGCTGGCTGCAGGTGTGAAGAGGAGGCTCCTGCTCCACCTGGGCAGCGCCCGCTGTTTCCCTGGCAGAGACACCAAGGCTCTTCCTGCCGTGTCCTGCCTGGAGCTCCAGGACTGACTCGGTAAGGAGTGGCTGTCTCTGGCTTCCCAGCTCCCTCCTGCATTGTGCCCACGAGCTGGGGGCCTGCCAGCTGTGAACGGGATCACGGATGGGTGGCACCGGTCCGAGTGTTAATGTGCAGCCCCCAGCCCGGCCGGATTCCAGCCTGCCCAGTGCCCCATCCCCAGCCCGGCCGGATTCCAGCCTGCCCAGTGCCCCCAGCACAGCCGGATTCCAGCCTGCCCAGTGCCCCCAGCCCGGCCGGATTCCAGCCTGCCCAGTGCCCCCAGCCCAGCCGGATTCCAGCCTGCCCAGTGCCCCATCCCCAGCCCAGCCGGATT